CCCCTCCCGTTCCTCTGAGGCGTGCATGATGAACACATCCAGCCAAATTCAACAACGACCGAGGACTGCGTAGAAATAACAGACCTAGAAATGCAAACCGTCCGTGTGTGACGCGTCTGCGTCACATGGTGTAGAGATGTGTTCTGTGTGCGCTTTGTAAATACGTGGAACTTTTTATAAAAAAAAATATAATTAAAAAAACCTTTCTTTTTGCATGTTGGGTGGAGGGGTAAATATTACACACCCCTCCACTTCTAAACGAAAATACGAACAAATGTATGCATTTTTTTTCTGTCTTTGGAAACATTCGTGTGTAGATTTCACATCTGATCTGTTTTACAGAATCCGGTGAAAACAAAAATGTGGATTCTGTTGAATGCCGATGAATTTAGAGCAGGGGTCTGCATCCTGCGGCACCGGAGCCAAAAATGGTCCCTTCAACCTTCCACAATGCAAAACACAAAATATTAATATTGTTTTCTAGTTTCTAGTGCAAATATCTTAGTACACTTGAAATAAGACAAAATTAACTTACAAGTTACTTTTCAACTAGATATAGGAGCTTTTTAAAGTGAATAATTCCTTATATTTTATTTCATTTTTTTTTTATTTTTTTTTTATAAAAAGTACTAGTTCCACTGTTAGACTTCTTGATTCATAACATGGAAAAATGCCTTGGTGAAAAAAAATCTCCCTGTGGAACTAGTACTTTTTATATCTATTTATAGAATTATTAACTTAAAGCTAACTAATACACTGAAAAAATACTTGTAAGTTAGTTTTGTCTTATTTTAAGTCCACTAAGATATTAACTCTAAAGACAAAAAATACTTAGTAAGACTTAGATATAGATATTAGGGTTGGGAAATGTAGCCTTAAAATCTTGCCACAATAAAACAATGAACAATGAAAAACTGCTTACAACTTTGTCTTTTTTGCTCCAAAAATATAAAATATTGCTTTGCATTTAATCATCTTGTTTTCAGATCTCTTGACATCTGATGCTGCACCTCCGGTTTTTAGGGTTTTCATTAATTGAAGATTATAGTTATGAAAAATTAAAATTTTTTCATGAGAATGACACAATAAAGGCACATTTATATATATTAAATGTAATAACAAATAGGTTTTTGCCGTTTGTCTGTTCTTTATGTAATAACTACATTAATTTTCCACCACAGAATGACTTTACAAGTATCTGTTTTTTTAGATACATTTTTCTTGTTGAAAGCTTCCTAGGCGGGGTTGACATCATTTTTCATAAATCTCTACATCTCATAAAAGAAAATGTAAAAGTTTGATTTTCTTTATCTTAACACCTAAAATTAGACGTAAAATGGTTCTGTAAGTATGACGACAAATTTCTTGTAACGGATAAGAAATTGTAAGTTTTATTTCTTTTTCTTTTTTTTTCTTTTTTTTAGGTCATTAAACATTTGTGAAGAAGTTTTATTTATCCGGGTAAAAATGTCTCTCTGGGTTGTAAAGGTTGCAGACCCCTGATTCAGAGGATTCTTAAAGCCTGGCTGAGATTTCTGTCTCTTTGACTGTGTAATCCTTCAAAGAAAGGAAGATGTAACGTTTATTTGTATATATATGTCTGTGACAAGAAAT